TTCAGCAATAGCACAAATGGAGGGCCGGGAAGCCCGCAAGGCAACTGCGATAATTCCATGAATGGCACCACAATGACTGACAAAGCCAGGTGCTATGCAACGATTGCATAGGGCTGCAGGGGTTGCTTCGGCTGGCCAACCCACAATCACACGTGATTGTCTATTATGCTCACAACCCAACCATAAAGATAGTATTTTAAACTCATGCAAATCTTTTTCAGTCTTTTTTCTAGATATATGCTTATGTTATAAGCAAAAACAGCAGTATACCTGAGATTGCTGCATTATGGGTGTCCCGCCAGGAGCATCTGGATCACTGCAACAAAAAGGCCAATATAAGTGATATTTCACCAAAATTTGAATAATAATCCTTGATAACAGAAGCCATTTTAATTACTTACTTCATGTAATTTTGAAAGTAGAGATCCTCTCGTACTTTCGTAGTCTGTTCCAAAACAAGCTCTGGGTGTTTGAGCTTCAGATGTTTGTGCACAAATTCAGCAGCATGAAAAAGCTTTGTGCAGCCCTTGGCTCCACATCCATACTTCCATCCATACTTTTCATCCCTAATTTTTCTAACATATGGATCCAATACTTCCATTGCTGCAGCATCTATCTTCTCCTTAGCAGTCATTATTTCCAAGGGATCCAAACCATTCAGCCTTCCTTGCCAAAATAAATCAAGCTTCTTCTCCCAGTCCGACCCTGATTTACCTGTTTCTTCATGCCCCGTCCCTTCTGGTCTCACATGCCTAAAGCCCTTAGCCTCGTTAGTCTCAATCATGCCATAATAATCCAAACCATGAATCCGCCAAAGGTAAGTTATAAGTGTATCCAGAAGTTCGAAACCTTCTAAACCCTTAACAGATGTTAGGCCTCGAATAATTACTATGGGGCCCACAGATCCACTGTGTGCCTTGTCATCATTTTTATTATGATCGCTGCTGCTGCACAAAGTATTATCTTCAATCCCTTTTTCAGCATCAAGCTTCCGGACAAGAACCTGAGCCTGTTGAACATCTGCCTGTATCCTTCTTGGTTCAGAACTGATTGGGTGAGCCTTTGGAGCAGCTGAGAAATCATTTTCTTTATTAGGTCCCCTTCCATGCCTTCTTCGTTTGCCTCCAGTGTCTGCTTCCTCCTCTGAATTTGGCTCACTAGCTTGCCCTGATTTGTTGGATACAGAGGCCTCCAAACCAGGATTTCTGCATTGAACATGATACCAATTATGTATTATTGATTGATACTGATACGAATAGTGAAAGAATGAAGTGGTAAGGAAGAGAGCAAGACAGACATATATGAGACCAAGAGAAAAAGGGAGGACAGGGACATACAGTTCTAATGTTCCACTCTGTAAATCAAGCAAAAATTCCTTTGCTAGCTGTCGAGCATTTTCATTCCTCCTATAAGAACATGAACCAGACAATATTCATTCAAATTTAAACGTCTTGATAAAAACAATTAATCCACCAGCCTACTCTAGTGACCATCCCAAGATGAAAAAACAAAACAAAAATGGCCCACCAAATATTAATATTACAATATATACAATGCCTAATTAGACACAAATTTGATAAAGAAACTCACCTTTCAATGACTGTAAGCAAATTTGTTGGATGATATTTATCCTTCAACCTGAAGTAAAAAATAAATGGTAAGAACATCATATCAATTGAACTTGAGAAAATATGGTCACTTGTGCTTTCCACAGTAAACATTTTGAAGATTGAACTACAATTTTAAACAGGAAGAACAAATATACCACTCTTCATCCTTATGAGCATTAAAATAAGCTCGTTTTTGGGTTGAAATATACTCTGATTTGTATTCTTGATACCTAGAAAATCAAAGTCAAAAGCCATTTGTCGATGAGCATCACCAAAAAGGCTGATTACTTGAACACTTAAACATGATACAACAAGATATTATTGTCCAGAACTTACCTACGCTCTGCTTCAGCAGGTAGTATATCATCCTCAAGCTCCTGAATGAACTGCTTATAGGACATCAGCCCCTCCCTGATATGACTCATAAATATCTTAATGTTAACATGATTGTCCAAAAAATCTATTGTCAGAGAGAAATAAAGACAATACAGACATTAAACAAGTAATGGCATAATCGTGTGTTATGTTAACTATTTAAGAAAACTCAAAGTTGAAGAGACTCGGGTATAGAAATGGTACACAAGTGGATGTTCAGTAATGAGCACAGAAAACAACTCTACAATAAGTGGAAAGAAAATACAGTTAAAGAAAAAGATCATAAAAATAATGTAAGACAAGACTAATGTGCTGAGTACTCTAAAACTTAAGGACCGAGAGGTAGCAAATTTAGGAATATGGACAAGAAATTTCAATTTGNATATATATATTACATGTTATGTTTTACACTTAAAAAGGGACTATTGGACTCAAATTGAGGCCCATCATCTAGCGCTACCCCTATTTATGAAGTGAAATGTCTCTGGAAGATGATGACAGATGGAAGTAAGCTATCAGAAATGGAAAGAAAGAGGCAGTTTAGAGATGGCTAAGGAAGAAATCTAGCAGAGCCTTATCAGCAATAGCACAAATGGAGGGCCGGGAAGCCCGCAAGGCACTGCGATATTCCATGAATGGCACCACAATGACTGACAAAGCCAGGTGCTATGCAACGATTGCCATAGGGCTGCAGGGGTTGCTTCGCGCTGGCAACCCACAATCACACGTGATTGTCTATTATGCTCACAACCCAACCATAAAGATAGTATTTTAAACTCATGCAAATCTTTTTCATGTCTTTTTTCTAGATATATGCTTATGTTATAAGCAAAAACAGCAGTATACCTGAGATTGCTGCATTATGGGTGTCCCGCCAGGAGCATCTGGATCACTGCAACAAAAAGGCCAATATAAGTGATATTTCACCAAAATTTGAATAATAATCCTTGATAACAGAAGCCATTTTAATTACTTACTTCATGTAATTTTGAAAGTAGAGATCCTCTCGTACTTTCGTAGTCTGTTCCATAACAAGCTCTGGGTGTTTGAGCTTCAGATGTTTGTGCACAAATTCAGCAGCATGAAAAAGCTTTGTGCAGCCCTTGGCTCCACATCCATACTTCCATCCATACTTTTCATCCCTAATTTTTCTAACATATGGATCCAATACTTCCATTGCTGCAGCATCTATCTTCTCCTTAGCAGTCATTATTTCCAAGGGATCCAAACCATTCAGCCTTCCTTGCCAAAATAAATCAAGCTTCTTCTCCCAGTCCGACCCTGATTTACCTGTTTCTTCATGCCCCGTCCCTTCTGGTCTCACATGCCTAAAGCCCTTAGCCTCGTTAGTCTCAATCATGCCATAATAATCCACACCATGAATCCGCCAAAGGTAAGTTATAAGTGTATCCAGAAGTTCGACACCTTCTAAACCCTTAACAGATGTTAGGCCTCGAATAATTACTATGGGGCCCACAGATCCACTGTGTGCCTTGTCATCATTTTTATTATGATCGCTGCTGCTGCACAAAGTATTATCTTCAATCCCTTTTTCAGCATCAAGCTTCCGGACAAGAACCTGAGCCTGTTGAACATCTGCCTGTATCCTTCTTGGTTCAGAACTGATTGGGTGAGCCTTTGGAGCAGCTGAGAAATCATTTTCTTTATTAGGTCCCCTTCCATGCCTTCTTCGTTTGCCTCCAGTGTCTGCTTCCTCCTCTGAATTTGGCTCACTAGCTTGCCCTGATTTGTTGGATACAGAGGCCTCCAAACCAGGATTTCTGCATTGAACATGATACCAATTATGTATTATTGATTGATACTGATACGAATAGTGAAAGAATGAAGTGGTAAGGAAGAGAGCAAGACAGACATATATGAGACCAAGAGAAAAAGGGAGGACAGGGACATACAGTTCTAATGTTCCACTCTGTAAATCAAGCAAAAATTCCTTTGCTAGCTGTCGAGCATTTTCATTCCTCCTATAAGAACATGAACCAGACAATATTCATTCAAATTTAAACGTCTTGATAAAAACAATTAATCCACCAGCCTACTCTAGTGACCATCCCAAGATGAAAAAACAAAACAAAAATGGCCCACCAAATATTAATATTACAATATATACAATGCCTAATTAGACACAAATTTGATAAAGAAACTCACCTTTCAATGACTGTAAGCAAATTTGTTGGATGATATTTATCCTTCAACCTGAAGTAAAAAATAAATGGTAAGAACATCGTATCAATTGAACTTGAGAAAATATGGTCACTTGTGCTTTCCACAGTAAACATTTTGAAGATTGAACTACAATTTTAAACAGGAAGAACAAATATACCACTCTTCATCCTTATGAGCATTAAAATAAGCTCGTTTTTGGGTTGAAATATACTCTGATTTGTATTCTTGATACCTAGAAAATCAAAGTCAAAAGCCATTTGTCGATGAGCATCACCAAAAAGGCTGATTACTTGAACACTTAAACATGATACAACAAGATATTATTGTCCAGAACTTACCTACGCTCTGCTTCAGCGGGTAGTATATCATCCTCAAGCTCCTGAATGAACTGCTTATAGGACATCAGCCCCTCCCTGATATGACTCATAAATATCTTAATGTTAACATGATTGTCCAGAAAATCTATTGTCAGAGTGAAATAAAGACAATACAGACATTAAACAAGTAATGGCATAATCGTGTGTTATGTTAACTATTTAAGAAAACTCAAAGTTGAAGAGACTCGGGTATAGAAATGGTACACAAGTGGATGTTCAGTAATGAGCACAGAAAACAACTCTACAATAAGTGGAAAGAAAATACAGTTAAAGAAAAAGATCATAAAAATAATGTAAGACAAGACTAATGTGCTGAGTACTCTAAAACTTAAGGACCGAGAGGTAGCAAATTTAGGAATATGGACAAGAAATTTCAATTTGTACAGCTGAAGCAACAGTTCACCTACCATTAGCTGACGAGAACAAAAATGCTAACTAAGATCGACACCTAAAGCTATAAGTGGTGCAATTTGTGAAGGCAATTTAAAATTACGGTTGCTATACCTAAAGCCAACAATATCTACAAAGATATTAATCATCAAGCAGAGAACTGATTCTCGTACCCTCTAACAACAATAATAAGGCTCTGGTAAACTGGATACAGCATGTTCAAAGATGGCATAATGAGAAACTCTTTTATCCAAGGTAATAAAATATTATTTTTGAATGTGACAAAGAGCATGCAATGTCAATAGCAGCATATAGTACAGATCTTCAGTTCGACTTGGAAGGTAACATCAAATTACAAGGAAAAGGAGCTATGAAAACTTCTGTGCAAACTGTTAAGAAAATCAGTGCTTAAATCAGTGGTTAAATTGTTCATTTGATGTTACCTTACAGGGCTGGTCAAGAAAATCAGTGCTTAAATTGGATATCAACTAATTTAGAGGGCAGGTTCAGAAAAGTAGTACTTAAATTAGATATCAAATTATAAGTGGCTTTATCAAATTTCATGCAGAAATATGCACTGTTTCAGGCCATAGGATAATATAACCATGGAGAGATGCAGTAGAAATTCTTAAGAATACCTACTATGACAAGGCTAAAACAAAAGGAGATGAAGAATTCCACAGTGAAACTGTTGTAACTAAAAATGACTCAAAATAAAAGGGGATGTTTGGTTATTTCATATTATCATTTCCAGTATGTTTTTGCCAAAATTCAGAAAAAAACCACCTTGTTTTTATTTTATTTTTCATCATTTATATATGTACCACAAATCATTGCAGAGGGTCCATAATCTCAACAGGGATATCTCATCTTGGCCTTGTCAAATAGTTTCAATTACAGCCACCCTTTCAAATATGAAGTTAACATGTTCGCCAGTATTCATTAACCCCTTAATAGCACACCAATGGAAAACAATATTTATTAACTAGATTTGGATAACAGAAAAATTACAAAGCTGACCTTTGGCTTGGCATGTCTCCATAACCACGATTGGATTCCACATCTGCAAAAGTCAAAAGAAATCTACCAAGATCAAAAACATAAAAGCTAATTCATCAAACACCATAGGCAATAACATGCAATAAAGAAATCATGAAATCTAATAATAGATAAAATGGGATTTATGGGATATAAAAAAAATGCTTGTACTTAATAGAAGTAACTGACATACCAGAAATCCCATTCTGATAACCCCCAGCAGAACGTGGTCCAAACCTCCCATAGGACTTCTCATCTGCATAACCACCTCTTCCACCCAATCCCCGTTCATAAGCACCATAATAATTATAACCATGTCTGCCATAACCAGAAGGTGTGGTTAAAGAAAAAGGAAACAAAAAGATGCAGAGCAACAGATTGGATGAAGCAGAAGTAAAGTAAGTTAGCAAAGAGACACAAAAACAGGTCGAGCCTGTTATCACAAAGATTTTCATCATAACATGAGAAGTACAGAACAATATCCTACCCCGTCTTACACTTCTCAGAGAAAGAAAGTATGCCAAGAAACCATATGCAACACTAAATCCCTTCATGCGTAACAATTCATTCTCAACTACTCACGTAAGAATAGAGTAAATGATATTATTCAACAGTTGACATACAAGAAACTATGACAGATAGTATACCGCCAGCTTCACTAGCTTTATTAGAAGATACAACAATACTTCTATCTCAATAACTATAATTTCAATTAAATCATTCATATAAAAGATTCCAATGATACTAAGACAACATTAAAAAAAAAAATCAGCTAAACAAGATCTTTTTACCTTGAAAATACAGTACACAGCCTATTAGAAGGGAAAAAAAAATTGCAACATCATGAAAGAAAAATATTAAAGCGGCAAAACACGGTTTTGTAAAATACATGAAAATATAAATTTAGCTCTCTCAAAAATTTCTCTCTCGTTTTTTATCAGCAGAAACATTTCTCCCTTTTTTTTTATCGGCAGAAACATTTCTCTCTTAAATACCCTTTTCTCACATTCAAGGTTCCAAGAAACAGTTGACGACCTCAATTCCAGCCAAACATCAAGTTATTGGAATCTTCGAAACCAAATTTCCCACAATATTTGACGAAACCATGATCGCAACCACACTTCAAAACCTTATTCACGAAAATCATACAACTATCACTGTCGTTAGTTAAAAATTGATTCTTAACACTTTTCCCAAAAAAGTTATTTTTGCACCAAATAGCAGTTAACACAATGAACGAGTGACTTCATTTTCTAGAGTTTCCTGGAGATGTCGAATTCTAAAGGCACAGCAAGTAGCTTAAGCAAGTCAATCAAATGAAATTCAATTCTCACAATCACGCAAACAGGAATAAATCTACCTATCATCAGGTCCATATCCGCCCCGAGGACTCCCCCGGCGCGACCGCTTGTACGGCGGAGGCGAACGCCGCGGTGCCGGAGAATACCGCTGGTCGCGGTGGGGAGGGCTCGGGCTACGTCGGCGCTTGAAATCCCTGTCCCTGTCCCGGTCTCTGTCTCGAGGCGGCGACGCGTTGCGGTCATAGTAATCGCCGCGGCGGTTGGGAGGGCGATCGAAATCCCTGTCGTCTCTGCGGTCTCTTCGCCGGGGCTGGTAATGCGGCGGCGGGGGCGGGGGAGGGAGGTCGTCCGCAGCAGGGGAGGGCTGAGTCGGAGGTGGAGGCGGCGGCGGAGGAGGGGGAGCATCGGAGGAAGGGGATTTGTCGAGGGATTCTGGAGGCACATTCATGACCTCCGCCATTGGAATTTGGCAAACCCTAAATTTAGGAAAAGGGAGAAAGGATGTGAGAGAGAAAGAAAGTGTGAAGAGATTCGATTTGTGTGAGGAATTGGAGTGAAAATGGGGTTTGTATTGGAAGAAGACGATGACGATGATAACTTTTGCGTTTTGTTTCACAGCGTTTTCGCAGACACTGCTTCTTCAGTCTTTTTATTCCTTCTCACGTCGTTTCGCAGTTTTCACGGTAGACTGAGTGAAGCTTACCACGAACCTATTAAATTATTAAAAATTCAAAAAACATATAAATAATTTCACACATTTTAATTTTAGTGTAAAAAATATAGGTAAAATAAAATTATCTGTCGTGATTTTCTTTTATTAAGTGCTCGTGACTTTCTTTCTTAAATATTAATTACATTAATTAATATATATTAAATTTGGCATTTCATTTTGGAAATTCATCATCATTCAGCCATGCAAGAAAGACCGTTACCAGTATTAAAAATTATAGAACATTTTATTAATGATAAATTAATGATTAATGATAAATTATTGATTAATACTGTAGATACTCTAAAGTATTATAAAATATTTTTAATATATTTAAAAATAATATCTTATAAAATAACAATTGATTCTGTTATATTTTTAAGATAATATAAAGTATTTTTAATATATTATGATATAATAATTGATTGTTTATATATTATGAGTGTTTACAGTGGGACGAAGGTTTTTTACTATTCTCTTGAAGATTTAGCCAATTCTAAAGAATGATGATTAAAGAAAACCACATGGGATGCTCTAGCCTTGACTTGATACAAGATATGGTTGAACAAATATTTTGGCAGCATAACATTATAATTCTTCAAAGTGGATTTACGAAGGGGGAGACACCTCTATTTATAGATTAAGGTGTCTCCAAAGTAGAACAAAACCATAAAATGTTATCTTGTACCAAACCCTAAAAAATATTATCTTAGTGAAAGAGATCTTGACATGTGATATTCTAACTTTTAGAAAAACTCTCTTCTAGTGCGATGTGGAAAGTTACCTTAGCAAAAGTTTTCCACTAAGAAAATAACGCATGACCACTACCTTTGTAAGAAAATTATCCATTAAGAGCTTGCCATGTGGCCAACATGTCTCATATGGGACACCCTCCACCAAGCTAGGGTTACAAAATTGATAACCCAAGATTAGCTTAAGCTAGCTGCAAATATTGTCATACAACTTAAGCAAGATTGTTTAAAAATCCTACACTACTTGACCCTTAATACAAGACCTAAAAAGAAATAATACACTACTTGACCTTCATACAAGGTATAAATACTCATAATCTACTAGAGGTGCTCCATGATGACCTAAGACAAAGAATTTTGCTTCACCTTGCATAAATGACTCTAACTCTTCCTGAATATGGTTGGCCCATAGTTAGGGGGCATGTCATCATCCATTCCTTTTTCAAAAGGATTGGTCCTCAAATATTCATGTTTCTTCATGACAAAAACTCTTTTCTTATTATTGATCAACTTGTGTATCATTCCTTCAAGATCAAAGATTCATATGCAATAATTACCAAATAATATTTCATTAAATCTTTGTATCATATACAAAATATATCTCAATAAAAAATTAGAAGAAGGCTTTATTTTAATTTTGAAAGAATTTCCTTGAAAACTTTTAAGGCCCACTTCACAAAAGTCTTTTTGTCTTCTTTGAGTTAACTTTAACCTAGAAGGTAACATCAACTCAAAGTGTGATTTTGAGTTGTCCAAAGAGAAGTTTAAAACAGTGGAAGAAGGAGATAAATTTGAAAAATTCTTATGATTAAAAGTTGGAATTAAGAAAGATGAATTATTGCTAAATTGAGAAAAGTTCAAAGATTGAAAAACTCTCTTTATCATCTTAGTTTCAATTATTTTTTAGGGAGTGGTAGGTGCCTTCAATAACACTTTCTCTTTCTTTCTTCTCTCAACCTCTTTTTGTTTTATTCTCTCAATCTCTTCTTTTTCTCTTATTTCTTTCTCATTCATCTCTCTTCTATTTTTCTCTTCATACTTTCTTCTTTTTCTCTCCTCTTTTTCTCTCATCTTCCTCTCTTTGTTCTTCCTTCCTTCTCTTGTCTTCCTCTCTTCTTCTCTTCTTCTCTTAATATTCTCTTAATATTCTCTTTTATCCTCACATCTTTTTGTTTTAAAATTCTAAGTTCTTCCTTTAAAATGGCAAGTTAGGCCTCCTTTTTAATTTTATCCTTTTCTTTTTGTATGGCCTCTTGCTTTCTTTTTGCTTCCTCCTCTTTCTCCTTTGTTTTCTTTCTTTCTTCTTTTAATCTTCTCTTGTATTTTCTCTTCTTTTTGTCTAAGTATCCTAAGCTCTTTCTCTAGGATATTAAGGTGGGCATTTCTTTCAATTTTCTCTTTTTCTTTTAAAATTGCCTCTTGCTTCCTCCAAAGTTCAAGTGACTTTAGTTGTTGGGTCAAATTGTTTAAACTTGGTATGACTTTTTCAATAGAATTACTTCTAATTTGGTAGGATAGAGTCTTAGACATGCTTAGATTTTACTTTTCAAAAGATGATATGCAAAATTATTACTTAGTAGGTCAAAAGAAATTTCTTAAGAGACTTAAGGAGACAAAAGAAACTCAAGTTCACTTTCAAGAAAGGAAGGTGAATCACAAATGATTACTTAATAACCAACTCTTTCCTAGTCAAAGTTTACCTTAAGCTCTCTTATACAAAACTTCTTAAATGGAATCAAGTTTGATATACATGTAGACACATACTAAACTACAAACAATTAAGGAAAACAATTTAAACTAAACTATGTGGCAAAATGGTAAAGTTAGAAGGAACTTTGGATCCTCCAAAATTAACCAACTAAAACCAAATTTCAATAGATTTTAAAGGTCCTTATTAGGAGATGAGATTGAGCACCAAAGAATCCCCCAAGATAACCTAACAAATTCGTAAAACACAAGGAAAAAGAAAACAAATTACAACTCAAAGAAAATACACACAAATTTAGTTCTTCCTCCCAAGTGTTTCTCTCTTTTCTTCTGTCTCCATACAAGACTTTCAAGCTCCCACTAGGTCTCCACCACCTAGGATGTTATCTTAAGATATCGCCTCACCATATAAAGAGAACCCACACCACAAGATAACACCAAAAGCGAAAGTAGAGTCTAAGAAAAAAAACTTACAAAAGGGGTTTGTATACAACAAAACTAAGAAAACCAAAAAAGACAAGCAAGAAATTAAATAGTAAGAAAAGAAGGTTCAACACACAAAAGATATTACCTGAAGAAAGACATTAAAATATATGCACAAAACAAAAAATTACTAGAATAGAGTGGTGTTTCTTGTCTTTAGCAAGCTATAAGCAAAGCCACTCTTTTAACATCATTGGCCAATACTTAAGATGTTGGACAAAGCCACAAAATGCCCAAAAACAGTAATCAAAATACAACTGAACGAAATTTCCAAACAACTAGTGGTAGTGGTCAAATGCACATGACTTTGACTTTTGGTACTTTTGCTAAGCTCTTTTAGTACTTCTTTTGTAGCCCTTTGCTTGTAAGTTTTTACCTTTTCTTTTTTCACTTCTTTTAAGTGTAAAATAAGACCACAACACACCTAAAACAAGTTTTATATGTTGAAATATAGGCTCAAAAGACCAAGAAACACAAATTAGAAGAAAACTTACTAGAATTAAAAGTAGAGTAGGAAACTCAAAAAGACATAAGAAATTTTTTTATGAATTTTCCAATGATCTAATTATAAATATGAACTCAAAACTGTAAAAATAAGGCACTCAAATGCTTGTATATAGTTCAGTTTTGTAATCCAAGTTGCACATCCTTTTGTGATTTTTGCAAGCTTAAACTAGGAAAAAACAAATAAAAGGACTATACATGACTCTAGACAACATAAATAGATTTGAAAAGCAAAATTACTCAAAATATATAGTATGACCGAACCAAAAGATGAACAAAGACTCAACAAAGTTAAAAAGCATACAAATAATAGCCAAAATTACCAAAACAAAACCTGGAAAACGTGGATGGCAACATTTTGACAACTGGGCCACTAGTACAAAAATAGCGTATAACGTCACGCGTTCAACGTCCAACCATTGAATAACCAACGTTAAAAATGAGTTGTTGACATTTTTGTAAATAAATGCAATTATTAAACGTTGTTTAAAATTTTAATTCGATATAAAATGATATAAAACTTCGAATGACTTTCAAATTCAACGTCAAAAGGTTAGTGAATTCAATAAAAATTTGAGCGGGAGATTGAAAATTCATTCACTTTATCTTAGCGTGTGATACCCTATTCTCTTCTCAAACTTTTCTCGAACGAAGTTTGTCGAGCATCCCATGTAATCTTTCTTTCATTGGATACAAATGCATGTTAATTAATTACTTTATGTATGATTTTTGTTTGTTATAACCCATTATTTTCGTGCTCTTGTCCTTCATAGGCGCATTCTGCTTTCTCTCTAACTGTGACGAAACTTTATTCCGACAAACCCACCTTTTGAAGGTTAGTTTTCATTTTCGTTTTGAAGAACTTATTTGTTGAACTTGTTTGTTGTTTTTTTGTTGAACTTGTTTGTTGTTGTTGTTGTTTGGTTGAACTTGTTTGTTGTTGTTGTTTGATTGAACTTGTTCGTTGTTGGTTATTATTGTTTGTTGTTGATACTACAATACACGTTCATAGTTCATGCTTTATAAAATACCAAAAACTGAAAATTGTTGTTTTTTTATTTTTCAGGTCTAGTAGAGTTGTAAAAAAGATCACAATTAATTAAAAAAAACAAAAAAAATTGATTAACGTCAAATATTGACAAAATTCGACGTTAAGTTAACGTCGTATATTAACAAATTTCAATGTTAATTTTACGTTGAATTTTTTAAATTCGATGTAAATTTAACGTCTCTTGATATGATGTCGTTTGCGAATTTGCCGTTAAAAACCCAAAATATTCGAGGTTGTACGCGATTTTTGTACTAGTTGGCCCTTTATTGACTGATTTGCCTATAAATTTCTCCATAGAACTCCAAATGAGGTGATTATTTATTTTTATTAGAAACTAGGCTCAAAGGTATTTAATTTCACTAGTACAAAAACACTGTATAACGTCAGTGTTTTTCGGTCTTTCACATTGAATTCGAGCCCGACGTCATATTGGGAGACGTTAAATTGACATTGAGTTTAAAAAATTTGACATTAATTTACATTAATT